CAGCAACAGGAACAGCAGCAGTTGGAAGGAATCCACAGATACAAGATATCACCACCACGGTTCACAGGAGAATGCTTGCAAGACCCAGCATACAACAGACTGTTGAAACAGTCAGAGCAATCAACAGGGCAAGTTACAAACGACCAACTTGAGAATGCAGCACCTTCACAAGCAGTAGCAGAGCAATGGGTATAACTGAGCAACAATCTACACTGCCTCTTGGTGAGCACACGCGATGGACCAGCATCTACAATTTGCAGGCAAAACATGCAAGGCAACGGATTTGAAACATGGCGGCTGATACATACAAGATACTCCATAACAACTACAGCAACAACAGCTACAAAGGAGGAAAAGGCAAGTACAATCAACAACCGGTTGGACAAGGAAATCCATTCAAAGGACAACATGGATATGGCAAAGGAAAAGGATACAACAGCAAAGGAAAAGGCAAAGGATACTACAACAACCAACAAGGAGGAAAAGGAGCAAAAGGAAAACAAGCAACACATGTTTGCTACAGATGTGGGCAACCAGGACACATGGCCAAGCAATGCAGAGTGGCGATCTACAACTGTGACACAGGAACCTTCGACACCAACGACCAGACAGATGACTGGTACAATCAGGCACACTGCGACAACAACTGGTATCATCAGGATCAGTCACAGATGCATCAACTGGCGCTACCACAACCACCACAGGTAGCAGATCCATCAGCAGTACCTATCTCAGGATTACATGAAGTAACCATCGCCATGATTGGCGCAACACAACAACCACAAGAAGACAACAAATAAATGGGTCAATCTCATGATTGACAGCGGTGCGGCTACACATGTATGCCCACTACTAGCACATGGCACAGGACCATGACTGAGAACAGTGACCAACCAGCACATCAAGCTTCACGGGTACAGATGGGTTTGCGTGACAAACCACAGCGGACAACAGATTGTCATACCATTCTACGTTTGTGATGTTAAACAGCCAATCCTTTCGGTTACAAGGCTGGTGGAACAAGGTTTCTTGCAGGAGACTACTGGCAGTCCAACACACAAGGGGAACTTGTCAGAGTACACAGGCAATACAGGAAGACACTTTTCACACCATCAAGAACACAGTGTCCAGTTCCAGCAGAGCAACTAGAGGATTACAGGAGAACAACAATCAGGTCCAACGACGACGTCGCAACAAATACATTTGAGGACAAGTATCAAACAACAGAAGATCAAAGCAAAGCACAACCACAGGTGTGGAAAGGCGAGACAGCCTTCAGGATCAAGAAAGGCACAAAGTTGCCAGACACGCTACAGCAACAGTTTACAACAAAGACACAGCCAAAGAGCCAGCCACAGAGGATCACACCACAAGTGATTCACTACAACCCACGAACAAGGTTGAGGGAGAAAACAACACCACCAACACTACAGGAGTCAGCAGCACCACACACCACCAAAGGTGCGGCTCATACTGGAAGAGAGTACATGTTGAGCCTAGAACAGCGTTTTACATACCAGAGCAGACACACGACGGGCCAGACATCAAGCGACTCATACCTTGGAGACAGACCAAGGTACAACCAGCTGGAGGAGAAAGACAACATACAAGATTGATAGAAGATGAATGGACAACACAGCCAGCAAAGACATCAGACAAGCCTTGGACAGGCTGGACAAACTTTGAGGAACATCAGGAGTTCCCAACACAACTTGAGTCAGATGATGAGGAACAACAACAAGGTACAAAAGCAAAAGCAGTACAAGCACCCAAGCAACCAACACCACAGGAGATACTCGAGCGCAACGTGACACATCTCCCTTACAGGAGTTGGTGTCCAATATGCGTACAAGCAAGAGGCAGACAAAACAATTCTCCAAAGCAACACAGCAATCTTCCAATCATACAGGTTGACTTCGGCTACATGAAAGGCTTTGATGATAGCAATGTACACCCAATTCTCACAGCAATTGACATCCAGTCAGGGATGATCATGGCACTACAACTTACAGACAAGAGAATGCTTTTCGACTATGCAGTCACACAGCTACAGCACTTCCTCCTCATTGAATGTGGAAGGACAACACACACGATACTACAATCAGATCAGGAAGACTTCCTGACAGCGCTCACAACAGCAGTGGCCAACAAGAATGGCAACATCGCCACAAGGAGCTCAGGAGCATACAGTTCACAATCACAAGGAGGAGTAGAGCGAGCACACAGATCATTGTTTGCGCAAATCAGAACACTCAAGGCACAGATCAGACAAAACTACAGCAGATACATTTCAATGAAACACCCACTCATGCCTTGGATAGTTCGACACAGTGCATACATCAGGAACAGATATGCAGTTCATAGCAATGGATGCACAGGCTACTTCAACAGATGGAACAGAGAGCAACATACACCACTTTGCGAGTTTGGTGAGACAGTGCAACACATGCTACCAACAGTGAAACAATTTCCAAAACTCGAGCCTAGGTTCTACAACGGGGTCTGGCTTGGCAAGGATACAACCACACGGGAATCCCTTCTTGGGATCTACAACAAGATTGTCAGAGCAAGGACAACCAGAAGGCAGATTCTGCCCCACAAATACAATCAGCAACTACTGGACTGTGTACACACAGGTCCATGGAAGACACCAGCATCAGCGCTGCACACACCAACTTTCGCAACACCATTGACAATGCCAGCTACGAGCAAGGCGCCACCACCACAGAAAGATGCAACAACTAGCGCAGCAGCAAAAGGCAAGAGACAAAGCGCAGCAGAAGCAGGCGATCAGCCAACAAAGCAGAAAAGAACAACAGAGCCAACATCACCTATGGCTACATTACCAACACACCAGAAGCGACCAGCGCTGCCAGCACCACCGCTTACATCACCCACAAGAGAAAGAGATGACGCAATAGCAGAAGGCAGTACAGGCAAGTAACAGCGCACCACAGCAGAAAGACAAGCGCCTGAGCGACCCGCAACATCAGAACAGCCAAAGAGCCAAATGAGAATAACTGCCATCGAGTTCACAACAAAGGATGGTAGACAAATGCAGACAACATCCAATGAAGATGCAGGAGAAATCAACAATGAAAGGGTCCTACTAAAGCCAATCCTACATGACACAGAAGACTTGGATCCACAACGGGTAGCACAAGGAATGGAGAAGGAAGTGCAACAAATGAAAGATCAATCAGTCTTTACAGAGATTGATCGCAACACATTGACACCAGAACAACAAGCAAGCATTATCGAGTCTAGATAGGTTCTCAAACAGAAACACAATGAAGAGCGAGCACGCACAGTAGCAAAGGGCTACACAGAACCCGTTACAGACCACGATCTCTTGCTTGCGAGTACACCATTGTTTTGCATACTGAGGATACTCCTCACAATGGCATTGGTGTACAACGGGTCAGTCAGCACAGGAGATGTCAGTGTTGCATTTCTACATGCAGAAGCAATCTCCTACAACCTGGTAATGCGACCACCGCATGAGTTCTACAGTGATGAAAAAACACATAATGTGGCGGCTGAACAAAGCCATTTATGGTCTACGATCATCACCAAAACAATGGCAAGACCACATAGCACACATCCTCACAGTCACACTTGGGCTTGTGAGATGCACAACAGAAAGCAGTGTTTACAGATCAAAAGACTGTCAGGTCTACATCATGGTCTATGTAGACGATCTCCTCTTCATAGGAGTACAGAGCATCATCAACACGCTCTTCAGCAGAATACAAAAGGAAGTCCTGCTGAGACACACAAACGACCTAACAGTTGGGCCAACAATACATTTCCTCGGCAGGAACATTACGCGCAAAGGCGACCACATTGACATCAGTTTGAACAACAAATATGTTGACATCATCCTGGGAGAATCAGGAATGACTACATGCAGCCCAGCACCATCACCAGGAGTACCACACATGAAAGGTACAGCAGAAGATGAAGCACCACTAGATCAAGAACAGCACAAGAAATACAGGCGGCTTGTTGGCAAAATACAATGGCTAGCATATACAAGACCAGACATCGGCTATGGAGCAAAGGAGCTAGCAAGATTACTACAAGCACCAACACAACTTGACAACAAGAAGCTCAAGCACATGATCAGACACCTTAAGGGAACAAGGTACTCGCGACACAGCCTGCGACCAAAGATACAAACACAGGACAAGCGAATTCCACTCAACATTGACACATACACAGATGCCAACTGGGCATCGTGTGAGACAACAAGAAAAGCACAACAGGATTTGTACTGTACTGCTTCGGAGCAGCAGTACATTATGGCAGCAGAACACAAGCAACAATAGCACTTTCATCAGCAGAATCAGAGCTGTACGCGATTGGTGCAGCAGCACAGGAGAGCCTCTACATCAGCAACTTCATCAAGGAAGCATTTGAAGTACGCACCAACATCAGGATACACACAGACAGCAGCGCAGCAAAGTCAATAGCAATGAGAGAAGGTGCATCAAAGAAAGCAAAAGCACATCGAGCTGCGACACCTCGTCATACAACAACTTGTTAAAAGCAAAGTCATCACCATGCACAAGGTAAAGTCAGAAGACAACACGCTGACATTCTTACCAAGTTTGTTGGCAGCGACGCACTCAACAAACACCTGTGCAACGTTGGCCTGTGAGGTCACACCACAACAGTTTCACACCAGTAAGTACAGTAGTCAGCACGGGTTGTTACACAACAGGTGCACAGTTCACAGATGTTTGTTTTACCACTGAACAGCCGGCATAGTTACAATCTTTTAGGGTAGATACATCAGCCATGGATCGACCCTGTCTTTATGATCACTACATCTTTTCCCCAACATCTTCTGGGAGCTACACTTGCATGTGAGTTTGCACATGTCTCAAACAATGTTGTGATACATCTCTGCAGCCATTTGTTTTACATCAGTTTGGTCTGGAGGTACATCGTGTCCATACATCGAAATGGACATGCAGCCAGTTACACCTCTGCCCATGATCGCACGTGCCCATTTGCCGGAGAGGTACAATGACCGAATGACCACATCGGTGGTCGACATCGGCTTCATCAGGGCTGACAACATCAAGGCCACAGACCATGGCATCACAGCTTGGCACAACCTCTCGTTGGCCAACCACAGCAATGCGCTGTACATCGCCCTCACCACCGAGGAGTACATCTCGTTTGTGGGAGACACAACTCCTACATCGCTGGAGAAGGTTGGATACATCCCGGGCAACTTGCGCTACCCATCTTTCGACTTTACAGTCCTTACAACAAATCCACATGATGCAGTGATGACAACACCGTATCTCATGAGCGAAGACAAGTTAACTACAGCGAATACAGCCGACCTCTACATCATTGCGTGGCATTGTGACATGACAAAGCTTTTGGATCTTACATCAAGGCCCAACGCCAATACATTCAACAGGGGCTACATGCTGCAACAGTTGCAGATCTACAGCAACGGCGTTTGGCAGTTGAGTCCTACAGAGAAGGACAGCGTTACAGCATGGCGCTTTGTACCTCGTACATGTTTCTTTGACATCTACAGCAAGTACACCTGGGAGGCAGGCTACATGCATTCGTACTAATTTGTCTCTCGACAGCTTGCTTACAGCAGACAGTCAGGACACCGTCTATGCTGGACTGTCACAAGCTTTGGACTACACAGGACTTTTTACATGTCCCCACAGCATTCCTCTGCAGTCATTACAAAGATGAGTACATGCGGCCTGGACCACAAGATCTCGACCACAGCAGTGAAGCCCATGGAACAACTGCGTGGTCACACTGACCATGCGGCATTCCTCACAACGAGGAACATCATCCTCTACCCCGAGTACATGGAGAAGATCAACGACTACAGGAGGAGCTTGTACAATGCAGATACAACCACGGAGAACATGGAGGAGGACAAGAAGAGGAAGAGAGCCGTGTAGACAATCAGTCTACATTTTACCATGATGGCGCACCGCAATTCATGGTGCAATTGCTCCGACAGCGAAGGATATTGATGTATAGTACATCTGCTTTCTGGCTGTCAGTTTATATGCAGTGGGTTTCTTACATCATCCTGATCCACAAGGACACTTGTACAAATTTGGCAAAGTGTGCTAAGATAGCACAATTTGAGGAGGGGTGTTAATGTACATCCATCCTTGTACATGACCCTGGCCTTTGTACATCAAGGCCTTGAGCCTATCTACATGATAGAGCCTACAGCCCTTGCCCGCAGTGACAACAAGTGCCGCGCTGACACATCACAGGTGTGACACATTTAGGTCATCAGGTGTTTACACAGTTAGTTCCACTGTAACAATGTATGGTAGCACATATATATTCATATAGGGTAGCATACACATATATATATATATAGGGTAGCACATATATATGTATATATATTTACACCCAAGCAGGAGCTGGTTCGAAGGGAAGAACTTCTGTTGAATCGCTTGCTCCTTACGAGCACGGCTCCTCACTTTCCCCCTGAGCTCTGCAGTTCGCCCCCAGTTTCTCGAGTTGAGTGTTGTGCGGAATTTTCTGCACCCTGGGAGTATACCGGGAAATATCCCACTAGGGCTTAACGCAACACATCTCCCAGCTCTGTCTTAGTGTGTATACAATGGGGTGTAAGTCTTGCAGAACAGACAGGGGAGCTTGGCCAAGACAGACACCCAAAATAGGGGTGCAAGATTTGCTGACAAAGACCAAGTTTTTTTTTGAAAACAAACAGCTCCATGCAAAAACCGAAAAAAGTGAGGTTGTCTCCCCTGGCGGTTTTCACGGGGCCTCGAGCGCGCGAGTGGACGAGCGAGGCTTCTGCCGTTGCCACTGGCCATGGCGGCCGTGGCCCGGGTGGACGCCTCCGGCGAAATCCGCCCGGGGCCTGGGCCGGGCGAGGGGGTCGGTGTGCTTGGAGCGCGTGGGTTTGTTTCCAAGGGAACGCCCCCAAAATGGCACGTTTCTTGTGACTTCCCTTGAATGTTGACCCTGGAAGCAACTCCAGTTTCGTTCATGTGGGGGTGTTGTTCCACGTCCAAAAGTGGTCTGAACCCCCATTAAAGGGACACCCCCTCTTAAGAAACAGGGGTGTATTAATCTGGGGTAGGGTTACTTCCCTTGGCAAAGTCAACGACACTGGAGGGGATACCTCCCCCTGCATTTCGAGACATTTGTCTTGGGAATGTGTCAACAAACTAGGAAACTGACCCGCCCCCCCCCCCCCCTTCCTCCCCTTTGCCGGTTCTGCCGTGTGGTCTGCGGGCCGGGAATAGGATGATTGGGAGTGGGCAAGTCTTTTTTTAGGGTCTTGATACTCAAGTAATTTGTTAGATTATTGATACTTGGCCAGTCTGGGCACATAGAGACACAGACAAAGCAAAACACAGACGCACAGAGGCGCAGAGGCACAGACACACAGACGCACAGACACACAGACATTGACACATTTTTCGCCAAAGACCAAGAAGAACATGCGAAGCAGTTCTGGGTCTTCGATGGAACTCTCAAAACCGTCTGAAATGATAGGACTCGCATCATGCGCTAGATTCATAGCGCATCTGTGGAGGCAGTGGCTTGAGCGATTGCTTGGGTATTTGCATGCGTCCGTCGCAAGCCTCGTCACAAGCGCATTAGGGCTTTGGGATCCAGCGACAGGACGGTATGGTGGGAAAGCACAAACATACACAACCCGCAAAGGGCGTAGGTGCTCGCATGAAACTGACCTTATCAGCTCGCGACATCCGTTGACTTGTGTTCGTTTGGATGTAACTCAGCAATCCTTGTACTGCCGGGAAAGGGCAGAATTATGCGAGCGACTTGGGCGGTGCTGTGGCTCGTGTTGCTAGCTTGATTGTCTTAATCATTACTGCTTCGTCCCGTGGAAGTGCAAGCAGTTAGCATTTGAGACATGAACAAAAAGGACACGCAAAGCGCAGCTTGATCCTTTTGGAGATGTCTGAAAGGCTCAGGCAGCATCAACCCAGGCATTTTTGCACTTGGCCGCTTTGATTTGTTGAAGACAGGTTCATCACCATGTGCAGTTGATTGCGGCACACGCTGCAGTTGACAGTTTGAGCTTGTTGGCTTGGGTGAGTGCATGTGGCTAAGCGATACTGAGCGATTCAGCAAAATGGAAGAGACGACAAATGGCAAGATGTTTGTATTGTGAAGTTGTGAATATACTGTTCATTGGCAGCATTTGTTCTTCTTGGGGGAACCCCGTCGGGGACCCAGCCACTTGCTTTTCCTGACGTGAAACCTCAGAGCTCTTCTCCAACGCAATCGCTTCCTTGCCCATCCTCCCAATGTTCTGGCGAGCCCAGGTAAAACGAGCTCTCCCATGATAAAGGTCCTTATTTGGGGTGGCCATTTTTTTTCGATTTCGGATCTTTGGGAGAGGGGTTATCCTTGCACATGTCTAGTTCAGAGAGATCCCAGGTCTGACCAGCCACGAGCGGCATGCACGGGCCGCCTCCGCGCGGGCACCCAAATGGAACCCGAAACTGGCTGGGTTGGGCGAGCAAACGACCAGTTACAAAATGGAGGTGTCCAATCATCAGCCCGAGAACGGTGGGCTCTTTCCTTTGGTTTCCCTTTAAGACCAACAGGGGTACCCCAGAGAACCAGAGACACCCACCTTGAGGCGCAGCTGGAAATTCAAACCAGACAAAGTAGAGGCCAAAAGAGGATGCATGGAGGATGTTGTTTTTGTTTTGGTTTTTAATGAAGTATCCTTTTACATCGGTTAAGGGGTGCGATTGGGCACAATGTTGTTGCCTGGCGCGTCTTCAATAACTAGATCACAGCCACAGGCAAGGTCTGGAATGCGCCTATCATTTCCCTCCTCCTGGTTTGAAAGGCTTCTCGCAAAGGCTTCTCGCAAAGGCTTCTCGGGCCGAAACGCAGTTTTTCCTCTGTCACAGCACGGGAGCGATACCCGTCTGTGGATCGGGAAGGTTCGAGGCAAACTCTGTTTCACAGAGTAACTTGGATTTTTCCGGAGGATCCCCTTCGAACCTCTACCATAGAGTATTTCCTTACTAAAAGGGGAACCACCCTTGACTCGTCTGGTCCCCGGATGAACCCGATGTTGACATTAATAACTTTGGATTAATCCGGAGAAGCGTACTCTTCAGGTGTTTCCACACATGAAAAAAGGTCGTGAACTTCAACACTAGCTGTTCCGAGAACGCCCAACACGTTCTTACCAAAATGATCCCAGGTAAACCACTTCGCCGGCTTGCGGAAATTCGGGGTGGGATTACGGGAAGACCCTGCTAGGCCTTTTTGTAAAGGACTTTCATGGACTGGGGGCTCATCAGAATTATCGAGCGTGGCTAGTTCTTGGGATGCCAAGAAAACGGATATGGCGTGAAAAGGACCCGTGGCAAGTTGGTTTTGTCAAGGTTTGCGGGAAGCTGCGGGGGATCATGTCCCTGCAGAAACATTAAAACAGCGGCGCGAGAGATGATTTTGTCCGCGTATGCATGTGTCAGATGCACAGCACGCTTTGTGATGATGACTATTGGCCATTGTGGTCCAACAAGATGTGGCATCAACTGTGCAGGCAAGACCTGATTCTCCTCCTGCGAGGTTGTGACACCTCTCAGATATATACCCGGGTACGTTGTCAAATATCCCGGGTTTGGCCCAGCAATGCCCCAATGAAGCATTGCCGCACACATGGGTGTGGGTCAAAATTCAGCCACCAGGGGACCGCAGGTTTTGGTCGTGCCCATTTTGGATATCTCTGTTTGCCACACAACCAAGTGGTCCTTTCATGCTGAATCAGTGCCTAAAGACATTGGCTCGGATCGCCCAAGGCTGCCCCACAGGCATGTTCAGACGTCAGATGTTCTACTTGCTGGTGCGATAGGGAATGACCGAGTCCGGGTTGTGGGAAAAGGAACCGTTTTGGGATTCCCTCAACGGAAACCAAATTGGAGATGGATTTTTCTTGGTCATTCCACGTCTCATTCCCTGCCTATGTAAGCTGCAAATGCTTCCAAGGGGGGAAGTCAGTTCTGCCAGGCGCATGGAAACTGGACAGGCGCGGCATGGCTCAACGAATACTGGATGTTTTATCAGGACCTAGTAGGGATTATTCGCCCCAAATGGTTGTTTACAGCCCTTCTGTAATTTTCCCGGATGCTTGGTTGCGCCAACTGGATGGAACTTGTGAGGGCAGCTCCTGGCAATCTACTTCTCAGGTTGGAATTCATTGGAGCGTCTTTGGTAACACGCGTCCAAAACAGGGATTGGGGTTGTCGCTCTTCAGGGGGAAGAGTTTTGATGCATGACACTGTCATTTGGTAGGGGATAGCAACATGCTGTTTGAATGGTGGGGGTGTGGTATTGTTATTCTATGGTATTCTGGTCCTGGATGTTGCTGCTCAGAGCTTTGAGTTGTGCTTGGATGCAGTTTTCCGTGCATGTCGTGAAAACTGACAACAAAGGCTTTTGTGGAACGCCCTTTTGGGTCAAGCTGCAGCTTGATCATGTGATGTCAGTATTTGAGCACAGGAAGCGTGACATACCTTCTCAACTTTGATCAACAACCCCGACTATCCGCATCAACACCTCTCCGGAA